AGATGATCGATTTACACCATAAGGGCGAGCGATGACAGTCTGCGTCGGTGGAGGACGCCAGCCCTGCCAGGTCCCTGGGCCCTGGCGGCCTTTCTTCCCAAAGACATCTCAGCCACGTGAGGAGGGAGGCCTCAGGGAGAGGTCAGATGGAGGCTCAGCACCCAGGTCCCTGCTCCTGGGTCCACCCCATCTGAGGAAGTGCAGGATCATAGATGGAGGCTCAGTACGCCGGTCCCTGCTCCTAGGTCCGCCCCATCCGAGGAAGTGCAGGCCGTGGTTAAGGCCACAGCATTCTTCCTGGTTTGAATATGGTTCTGTCAAGGTGCACCTGGCTAGTTAACCTCTTGGTGCCTCAGTTCCCTCATCTGAATACAGCGGTAGCGATGCTTACCTCATAGGGTTGCTGTGAGGTTCTATTCAGTCATTCCGATGCTGTGTCTAGCACAGTGCCTGGCACGTGGTGAGCACTTTGCACCTGTCAGCTGCTGTTACCATGCACAGTGTGCGGCCACCCCTCCCCCTGCGCCCCCCACAGCCAGGGCCCCCCACAACCCTGACAGGGGAGCAGTCTCCATCCATGTGTCCCCTCCCGAAAGTGTCTGCATGTGTGTGCCCAGCAAAGGTCAGGCTCTCTCCATCCCCACCCTCCCCGTCTTCCTTCCTCCATCGCTCCATTTGTTCGCTCAGTAAGCACCCAGGTGTTTGCTGTGGACGCCATGGGCTGGAGGGGCTGCCTTTGCAAGCCTGCTCGTCTCCTCGGGCAACCAGGAAGCAGCCACACTCAGCAAAAGCACATTTGTTGTTTGTTTCCCTCGGTCTTTATATGTTACCCAACGGAAGACAAAGCTCCCAGATTGAGTAATGGGAGAGAAAGCTGAACACCCCCAAAGTCTCGCTACATCTGGACTCTGCATCCAGCTGCCAAGTTGCAAATGGATGTGCTATAAAACCACTAAGTCATGGAATTTCGCTCTTTTCCCACCTCCTCCTCCTTGTAATACTTCCCCCGAGTGTGTGCGCACATGCACACACACACACACACACACACACACACACGTGCACGCGCTGCTGATAGAAACACTAACAGGCTCAGCTGTAACATCTGTTCCATGTGATCTCGGTTCCACCAGCTACATCAAAGCTGCCCTCTGCACGTTACGCAGCCGACATCACGCGTGGGATTAAAATCATGTTTAATGGTTGGATGTGACAAAAACTATGTCTGCCCCCGGAGCCTGGTAGACGCCTGAAAATTCATATCCTGCACAAGGAGAGGAGGGGCCTGGAGGGGGAGCACAGGGACTGTGGCCAGGGTGGAGGTGCAGCCACAGGGGAGATGCAATGCCACCTGGGGCCCATTCTCCGAGGTCCTGCAGGAAAGGCAGGCATTGAGGGTGTTGCAAAGAGGTGGGGAAGCTGCGGGAGACTGTTCCAAGGATGAGCTGAGAATGGCAGGTGGGGGATGGACGAGGGGCCCACGCAGCAAGAAGGGTCCCCATAGGTATGTGCTCCATGCCCCTGCTCCCCGAGAGCCATCATTTGACAAAGGTGGGGTGGGCCTCCTGGAACGGCCCCCCGGTTTCTGTGTTGGGTTTCTAGACTCTGTCATGCCATCACCTCCTCCGCAAGAGTTGGATGGAGGTGCTCCGCTCGCCTCCTAATATTGATGTCGGAATTGGGGACGGACGGGAGCCAGCCACACATTCAGACCCAGAGGGCAGCTCTCCAACGCCTATACTGCAGAGCATGCTTCCGCAACCCCCATGAGATGCAAGCTCCTCCCTGGGTCTCCATGCACCACCGGCCTCAGCAGGCCCAGCGTAGCCGGCCAGCCCTGCCTGGATAGAGGGCTGGGCCTCCTGCGTAGTCTGGCCTGGGAGCTGGCGGTCCTGGGCTGCCTGGGCCGGCACTCACCTGATGGGCAGCAGCCGGGAGCGGCTGCGAGTCCTGGGGGTCGTAGCTCTCCTGGGAGGCGAGCTCTCATGGCTACTCCTTGCCACACACACATCCTTGTGACCATTTGAACTACGCTTTCAACTCTAAGCTCTCTGCTTCTTTTTCTGATTCTTCCTCTGCACTTCTCGATCTCTGCCCCCTCTCCTCCTTGTCTCTCTCCCTCTCTCAGTTCCCCCTCTTCGCTACCTCCCCCCACTTAGCTCTGTGAGCTTCTCATCAGGTTGAAGGAGGGAGCCGAGCCCAGCCTGGGGAGCCGGGGACTGGGGGTGCCCATCAGAACGCCGGGGAGATGATTAGGCTGATGAAAGGGTGCGAATGCCACCTTCCAGTGAACGGACGCACCGGAGCCTCTGCACAGAGATATGACAGGGGCATTTCAAAGACAGACCGTTTGGATTTCAATGGCCTCAGTGTCCATACTCCCCCTCTTGCCGTGGCACCCCCTCCTCCCTTCTCCTTTCTGAAGCCTTTTGTTCTCTCCAAAAGCTGGACGGTGGGCGGCACAACCCTGGGGCCGGGCAGCCGTACTTCCTAGCTGGCTGCTCATTGAAACACCAGCTCTGGACCTACAGAGGGAGCCTCCCTGCCCCCCCCCCTGCAGGACTGCCTGAAGCAGGCACCTCCAGGGAGTGGGCGCCCCTGCTGAAGCCCCCAGCTTTCTGGGGACCCCTGGAGCGGTGGCTGCTCTGAGGGTCCCCAGGATCGTGGGGGCGGGAACTCTGGCCTGTACCCTCCAGGTCACCGAGGGGGTCTTCCTGCCTCATTCTTCCCCAAATCCATGGACACAGCTCCCCGGTCTACAAGGGACTCTCTTCTTCCTGCAGACCCCCCGCTGGTCAACCTGTCGGTGGAGCCGCAGCCGGTGCTGGAAGACAACGTCGTCACCTTCCACTGCTCTGCCAAGGCCAACCCGGCCGTCACGCAGTACAGGTGAGGGCCACGCTGAACAGGCGCGGCCTGGGCACCTGGCCCTCCGCACTCACCTGTCACCTGGGCTGTCGCTGTGGGCCTGGGCAGCCAGCACAGTGTGGTTCCGTGTGGGTGCCCCTCTCCTCCCCCACCACCCCACCCACTCCGGCCAGGTGAGGACCCCTCCCCGCCTGCCTCTCCCCGCCACCCTGGCCGGCCGAGTCCCTCTCCTTCGCCCACAGATGCGCTCCCATTCCGCTGGAGACGGTAGGTGTCACCCCTTCTGTGTGAATAGCTCGTTGATCCCATATTTCTGAAAAGAGGGAGAGAGGCTCAGGAAAAAAACACGTTAAAACCATCAGGGGAACCAGTAAGGTCAGCATGTGGATTCTAGTCTTGAGTCACCACACTGGGCACCTGGGCAGGGTGGGGTCTCTGGGACCATTCACACCCGTGGCGCCGTCCCGCGGGCGCCTGGGACCATTCACACCCGTGGCGCCGAGCAACCCTGGCTCACAACACCGGTGAGGCATCGCTACTGCTCCCACGCTCGTCTTCCCCCCTTAACTGAGCTTCTCGGAGGCAAGCACAGCAATTTGAGTCGCATATGGCGCTCAGCGTGGAGCACAGTGTGTGGCGTGTACTGTTCTCGGGAACGCGGGCTGACTGACGGGATAAATGCTCAGAGCCGCTCCTCTGGGCCCCGCCTGCCTGCGCACCATCGCCGCACAAGGCATCCAAGAGACGGTGACCTCAGAGGTGCTCAAGGGCAGCCTGGCCTGCCCTCCTAGTGGATCTCACCGTGGCCCTGACCCCACCCGGCCCTTCCCGCCAGCCCAGAGCTGACGGGGGCGCCCAGAGTGCGGCCTCTGCCGTGGAAATGGGTCATTAAGCTGCAGCCTCCGCCGGCGCCTGAGAGGCTAATGGTCTCAGAGGAGGAAATACTGGCCAGTGTGGGGGGAGGACAGGGATGGCAGCGGGGCAGTGCCGCCCCAGAGGCAGCATCCGAGGTAATGGGCCGGAGAGGCAGCCGGAGAGGCAGCCGGAGGTTCAGGCTGGACTTGAGGCAGCGCCCCCTGCAGTGCAGATAATGAAACAACATGGGGACCAGAAACCAGGAGACAGTCTGTACCTTGGAGGATATTTAAAAAAAAAAAATTTTTTTTTAATCCTTACCGGAGGATATTTTCCCATCGATTTTTATTATTTTTAAAATATATTTTTATTGATTTCAGAGAGGAAGGGAGAGGGAGAGAGAGACAGAAACATCAGTGATGAGAGAGAATCGTTGATTGATTGGATGAGAGAGACACATGGATTGGTTGCCTCCCACATGCACCCTCCCCAGGGCTAGGGTAGAAGCTGCAATCCAGGTACATGCCCTTGACCTGGAATCAAACCCACAACCCTTTGGTGAGCGGGCTGGCACTCTAACCGCTTGGCAACACCGGCCAGGGCTCGAGGATATTTTTAAGTCCGATGCAAACCCATCTGTCCTGTCTGGCTTAGCTGTGCACTGGGCTAGGGGACCCCTGGAGGCGTGCAGCCCAGGAGGTCCAGGGGCAGGTCTGGAGCAAACTCCTGAGGCCCAGTCACCCCTCTGGAAAGAGCAGAACCCCGGCGATGACGACAGTGACCAGGTGTAAGTGTACACACGAGACGGGGTCATGACGCGGACGTGGCAAGAGAGTGACCGCTGGTGAGTCCAGTGAAGGGGAAAGGCGGTTCATTGCACTCTTCTTGCAACTTCCCCATAATTTCAAAGTTTGTTTTTTTTTCCACTAAAATGTTAACAAAGGAACAAGCAGGCATATAGGCAGAGACCATGCAGGTTGCCCTGGGCTGTGGGCCCTGGAGTCCCGCCCCATCTCCATCCAAGCCTGTGGGTCATAGTCGGGGGAGCTGTCAGTGGGCCGGTGGGCTCCCCGAAGGTGGGCACTTGTCCTTGCCTGCCGCCTTCCCCATGGACTTCTGATCAGCCAAAGGTCCTGAGAACGCTTCAGGGTGGATCCGGCTCCCTCCAGGCCTCCCCCCAGCGCACAGCAGCCTGGGTCCCACCCAGACCCCCTCGATCCAGCGGGTGGGAGGAGCAGGGGTGGGACACAGATCCCCAACCACACGCCCCATTCATCACCCAATTCATCCACCTCAAGCAGGGGCCGTGCCAATTAAGTCGGGTCATTAAATTAAAGTTAGAAATTGAAGTGATTCATGAATAACTCATAATGGTTTGTTGGGAAGCTCCTTAAGCTCTCAGGGAGCATGGTTTGCTCTGTTGTTAAACGATAATTGTTATTTATTAATCGTGTTCTTAATAATTACCCGATATTAATTCGCAATAAGAACCACATGGTGCCCGCCTAGGGGATGGCCGCCTCCCGGCTGGAGGGACGGGCTGGGCAAGAGACCGATGCAGGGAACGAAGCGAAGGGGACGGGCCTCCACGATCCCAGGATGGAGCCGGGAGTGAGAGGAAGTGGGGTGCAGGCAGGGGAGCTGTGGTCACAGGGACCCGTGGGCACAGGGTGACAATGGTGGGGGCCAAAGGGCCCATCAACACTGGGCTTGAACTGCAGGAGGAGCGAGCTGGAAGTTTTGTGATTTTTTTTATTTATTTTTGTTGTTGTTCATCCTCACCCGAGGATATTTTTCCATTGATTTTTAGAGAGAGTAGAAGGGTGGGCGAGAGACATACAGAGAGAAACATCGATGTGGGAGAGACACCTCGATTGGTTGCCTCCCACACGTGCCCTGACCAGGGCCAGGGATCGAGCCTGCAACCGAGGTACGTGCCCTTGACCAGAATCGAACCCGGGACCCTTCAGTCTGCGGGCTGACGCTCTATCCACTGAGCCAAACCGGCCAGGGCAGCTTTGTGATTTTAAAGTGAGTTTTGTCCACCTTGGAGACGGGTGAGGAGAGCCTCACGGCGTACACGCGCTCACACCCCCTGGGTACCCCAGCGCTGCCCCGGGGCAGGGGCTGCCTGGTCCCTGGCCCACGCAGTGCTCTGTGGTCCAGGGCCAGCACCCAGACAGGCCTGAGGCTCTGGGTCTCCCCCTCCGCTGGCTCTGATTGGTCGGACGACTGGCTGATGAAAGAAGTCAGCACAGCCTGCCTCCTGCCTCCCGGACAAACCAGGACAGATGGAGCCGAGGCCTCTGAGGAGCGAGACAGGGAGGGAGGGTGGAAACGGCACAGAAAAAAGGGCAAGTGTCATCCCTGGGGAGGGGGAGGGGAGGGTGGAAGGGAGAGAGGGGCACTGTGAGGGGACCTACTCTGGGGACAGGAGCCGGGACAGGAGAGCTGAGAGAACTGGCCGAGGGGAGGGGCGGTCGGGAGCTCTGCTAACCCCTCTCCCTCAGCTTCTCAACTTGCGTGGACCCCGACTTCCTGGAGCCTCATTTCTATGTGTGGGGGTGTTGAGGGGGGCATGCCTGCAGGTGTGGGCACACGCCATGACACCTTGGCCTCTGAGGTCGCGGACTTGGCCTCCTTCTTTTCCAACGCGGCCAGGACAGGGTCCCTGACAGGCTCAGAGCCGGGTGGCCCGCCGTCTGGGGACTGCCAGTGTGTTACCCATCGCCTAGCCGGCCAGATGGCTGACCGACCGAACAGCCAGACCTCCTCCCTCCAGAATAACCCACTCGTCCAGTGCCACTGCCCGCCTGGTGACCCTCAGACCAAAGCCCGCCACCTGCACCGCCAACTGCTCCCCAGCCCTGGAAGCCGCCCTGCCTGGAGTTCCCCGGAGGGACCCGCAGGGGCTGCCCCAGGCCCGGCTCCTTCTCTGTGGACTGGACGCGCCCAGCTCCCAGAGAACCGTCCCCCGGGCGGGAGGGGCGCCCTGGCCATCGAGGCCACCACAGCCTTCGGGGCCTGTGTTGCAGGTGGGCCAAGCGGGGCCAGATCATCAAGGAGGCGTCGGGAGAGGTGTACCGAGCCACCGTGGACTACACGTACTTCTCGGAGCCCGTCTCCTGCGAGGTGACCAATGCCCTGGGCAGCACCAACATCAGCCGCACCGTGGACGTCTACTGTGAGTGCCCCGTCTGGGGCCCCCCTGGGGGCGCGGGCCCCGGGTGGTCTCTGCTCAGGGCCCAGGGACCGGTGCTGGCCCCCTGCACACAGCGTGCCAGGCCTCGCCAGCTCATGGAGCTGCGCCCTGTGCAAAGAGCCTCCTCCTGTGGTGGCCTCACGACAACACGGGGAGGCAGTCATGGTTCCCGTGAGGCAGATGAGGGGACGGAGGCCCGAGGTCACACCGTGTGGAGGCGGCAGGATGAGACCTGAGACCAAGCCTGTCCCCCCCCCACCAGCCTGCCCCTCCCATTCAGGGCTCCCCGAGGTGCCCCTCCTCCCGGGGGCCTGGCAGAGACCTCCCAGCCGATGGGCAGCTGGGTGCATCACAGCGATAACCATTCGCTCCTCTGCGGCCCTTTCCAGCGTTAAAGCCCTTTCCCACACTCCTCTACACCTGCCCCTCCCCTCCCCCCACGGCCTCAGCTGAGCACTGTGCTCCCTCCCACACCAGGGGGCTCGTCCAGGCTCTGACCCCACCCCAGATTTCGCTCTCGCTCCCTGAAAGCCGCTCCCTGCACACCCTCTGTCCGGAGCCTAAGAGTCCACCATCATTCTCAGTGTGGGGCCAGGCTTGGTCTGCAGGAGGCTCAGGGAAGTGGGTGCAGAGAGGAGCCTCCATTAACCCCACCAAGTAGCAGGGGTGTGGGCAACACCTGAGCTCAAACAAGAGGCTGGAAGGGGCTGGGACAGAGGACAGCCTGAGAGCAGAGATAGGGACACCAGGGAGCCGCCTGGCCACTCCATTCCATAGCTCAGAGCCCCTAGGGGGCCGGAGGCTCCAGGAGCAGCCACTTGACTTGAGGGCAGACACATGAAGGTCTTTTGGCCCAAGGAGGAGGGCCCCTCTGCCCGCACCTTAGGATGGGGGCTTCCTGGGACCAGGACAGAGGGAAGGGGATAGGAGAGCCCTGGGGGCATATCCAGGCACAAAGGGGGCCGGAGCCTTTTTCCTCGGCTGGTGCTGTCCATCCAGGCGGGCGGGCCTTTCCCTTACTCCCCGACCCGA